CTGGGGCAGAAATCTAAATGTGAGAAAAGAGGGAGAAGAATTTCTCTTAATACTAGAAGTATTCCTCAGCAGTATTGAACCTATTGCCATCTATCCTAGCTGGCAACCCATGCTGGGTTCACAAAATCTGACTATTCCAATAACTTAAGAAAACAACAACGAAGCACTCAAACACACAGAAGTACCTTTTCAAAATCTGAGACAGCTCTCCAACCTTAAGGGTCAGGGAAATAGAGAGAGCCACTGTAATTCTTTATTCTTATATAGGGGACACACAAGAGGAGGTTCCATGGAATATTCTATCCCAAAAAGGGCAAAGGTGTAGGATTACAAAGGAATAGGTGAGTGTAACTCAACCCCAGCAGGTGACACCTACTCCTGGAGCCACGCCTTGTTATCCAAGCTGGGGTAACACCCAAGTTACTGAGACCTGACACTATCGCACCAGACTGAATGCAATAATTGTTCAGAACCCCGTGTATCAGGACTTAAAGGCATCTGCATCCAGGGCAGCTCCTGACAAATACCCACTTGGGATTATCTATAATTAATTCATACTGACACCAGTCTGCCTGATTGAGTGATATTCCCCAGAAACTTTCAGTTGCATGATGGACTGATCAAGAAATAGAGTTTTCCCAGATGAATATGTTAGAGGGAGAAAGGCTTGGGATTGTAGCTGTTTCCATACAGTGATAATGATGACAGAATCTAAGATATGGAAAAAGGTACAGATAGGTGATAGAGTTGATCAGTGGATTACAAATCTTGAAGAAATTAAAGAATTATTGTGGTAAAAATATGCAGGCAGGCAGTGAGAGTTTGATTAAAAAATGGACTTTGTGAATTTGCAGACTTGGAGATGGTGAATGTTTCTGCTGATGATAAAAGAAGAAAGGAAGAATGTAGGAGAAAGTTTATGAGTGGAATTCAAGAGACTAGGAGATGACATTGGAAAACACATACAAATTGATGTTGAAATCAGTAGGCAAAAGGACAGGAATTGAAAAAGAAAAACAAAGTAAACTGCTAAAATCTTGAATACATGGAAAATGACCAAGCAGTTGGCAGATGACAAGCCAGATGGCGTAAGCCTCTCAGGAGAGGAGGATTTTTTTTTTTACAATAAGGGTTGGGAGGGAATAACTATCTGGATGTGGTATTGAGGAAACATAAGCCAGCACCTCCTGATCCTACAGAATAAGCAACAGGAATGTGCTGCAGAGAAAGCAAGTTTCAGGAGTTGGATAAAACATTCTGAGGAAACTGTTCCTCAGGAAATGAAATAATATATGCTGACAGTACAGCCTTCAGAGTATAAAACAAGCAGATTTCTTTTATAATCAAAACCAGGGAATAGTAGTGTGGCTCTATAGCAGAGTGTATGCTTAGCATGTGAAGTCCTGGGTCCAGTTCCCAGAACCAGAAAAAAAAAATGTTCTTGGGAAGGACAAGGAGCTACTAAGAGCTTGTAGCCCTGATCCCTGCCCTCTATAACTCACCTTTCCTATCATATCACATCATTATAACCCCTTTATCATTCTTGCCAGAGGATGGTCTCACAGCTCTTAATTCCACCTTTATACACATGAGACCAGTTTACAATCCATTTATGGATTACTCTCTCCCTTTCTTCCTTCTGTTCTTCTTGCCTTTCCTCTGTTTTTTTCCTTTAAGTCATCCATTCATTCAGTGAGGCTTTCAAATCCCAGAAGGAAATAAATATAAAGTAATATGGAAAAAAAAGTATTGTTGCTTTTAAAGAATTGTTACTTATCATGAATTCTTAAGTTCCTTAGTGGGAGAACCACCTATGTAGTTCTTTTGAGTTCTGTTCCCTACCTCTTCATAATAACTTCAAAAACTTCTAAAGACCTAAAGGAGGAAGGTCCAGAGAAAAAATTTCCTCATTACATCATTACCTGTAAGACCTCCCTTTCAAGTTCAAGTTTTCTATCTGAAGGCCTGCCCTTTCCCTAACTGACAGCATGGATACCTATTGTTTCAGGAAAAACCGTATCCCATGGACAACTATATATAAATCTGAAGCCAAGCCTAATGAGGTCAGAATTCTACTTTCTTTTCTTTTTCTTTTTCTTTCTTTCTTTTTTTTTTTTTTGGCAGTACTGGGGATTGAAGATTGAATTTGGGTTAGGTAAGCACTTGACCCCTGAGCTACATCTCCAGCTCTCACAGGTCAGAGTTCTAAACATAATATCTAGACTCACACACAGAATTTGGAGATCCGGTTATTACATAGAAAATGTCAGATGTCATATTGAGACCTTTATTCCAACTATTAATAAGGATAGTTTTGTAGAGTGTATTACAAATACTTTGCTATAGGATGATTTTCCAACTGTATTCCAAATTTGATTTCCAAAATTAAATACCAGGGACTAGAAAACATGGTATTTCCTACATGTGTAAGACATGCCTCAGTGTACTACATAAGCATTTCAATATTGACTTTTCAACCACAAAAGGCACATTGTAAAAAATTATAGTAATGGCAAATTAAATTTGGGAGAGGGTAAAATAATGAAAACTTGGTGCCTGAATAAATTAAAGCTTTCAGTCTAACAAGACAGCCTTAATTAAGTTTCTCTTACGACACTGCACATCTGCCTAAATTCAAACATATAAAGATAAAGTGGCAAAACAATAACAAATTAACTATCCTGTGAAAATTAAAAAAAAAAAAACAGCAACAACTTAAATGAACGGCATTATTTATAGCCTGCTAAAGATTGTGGGAGATTTTTCTTATTGGCAATTACTGTGCAGTAATGTAATCCTCAAGAATAGTGTTTTAGAAATAGTCATTCAAGAACCTATTAGAAATTATGAGGAGAAACTGGGAGGCAGGAGAAGTAGAAAAGCGAGGTAAAATACTTTCTTCACATTCTGACAACAAAAGTATTTGTGGTATTGGGTCATTGAACTGAGCTGTAGCTTTAGCAATAAGGATAATGAAGATGTATGAAAGATGGAGAATAGGAGAGCACCAGACAATCCACTGGCACTTCACAAAAATCTTTGTGCCTCAGGCAAATAGGTAGTTTTATGAGAAGCATTGGCAACTTAGAAACACACACACTCACACACACAGGATCCCTGACTCAGAACAATTAGCTCTTTCCCTCTCCAAGATGATTCACTAATCCAGTATAACAAACATTTAATAACATCTGTATTTGCCAGGCAACATGATTATTAGGTACACACATTTTAAAAAATTATTTTTTGACCTTCAAGGAACTTGGAATTGAGTAGGAGACATACCAGTAAATCCAGTCAGCACATTGTGAAATTTGATATAATCATGAGGGCAGTGAGGCAACAACAGTTCAGTGGAAATAAGAGAAGGAGTGCCTAAGACAGAGCCTAAGAGTCAGTGGCAGGGAAGGCCTTCCAGGTGATATAATTCCTGAGCTGACTATTGAAGGAGATATAGGAGTTTGCTAGACAGAAAAGGGCTACAAGGCATGATAGGTAGAGAAAATAACATAGGTAAGGGCAAGAAACAAACAACAACAAAAAACAACAGTGCTGTCTTGCCACGTTACCTCATAATTCAGCCAGGAAACAGGTGGCACAATAGTAGGTTAACTGAAAAGAGCTGAATAAAGTGACTATTTCCATAGATGTCAAAGTCAAGGGCAGTAACAAAGGATGTTGAAGCATCTAGGGAATAGCAACAGTGTGAGGCCATTAACTACCTGGCTGGAAGAAATATTTGATAGAATGGTACTATCAAAACTTGATGACAGCTGTAGCCATGGGAAAGGGACTACCCAAAAGGAACTTTACCAGAAGCAGAGGAATACAACCACTGCTGTGCCATGCCCAACAGAGACAAAGGAAGGAATAGATATCCTTATTTCCCTTTCCTCCAGTCCCCATCTAGCATCCCCCATTGGCTGACCTCCATTTGGAGATCTTTCCCCAAAGGCCAGATTCCTAAAGCCGAGAAAAGAGTAGAGACGAATCCTTGGAGGGGCAAACTGAGAATCACTAGCACACCTCAGATTCATATCCCAGGTCCAAATAACTTCCTGTTTCTTGAATAGGTATAGCAGAGGCATATACTTGTAGCTAATATTGGAACACGTTTTCTGTTTTAGTACAAGTGTCCATAGAATGGGAGACTTGACCAACAGAATTGTATTTCTCAGTTTTGGTGGCTAGAAGCCCAAGATCAGAGTACCAGCATGGTCTGGTTCTGGTGATGACTCTTTTCTGGCTTGTAGACAGCCATCTTTTTGTGGTAGCCTCGCATGGTAGAAAGAAGACTAGAGAGTTTTGAGGTCTCTTTTATAAGAGCATTGATCCCATTCATAAGGGTCCTTCCTCATAACCTAAATTATATCCCAAAGGCCTACCTCCTAACATCAACACAATCAGGATTGGGATTTCAACATAAAGATTGGGGGAAGGGAACACAACATTCAGTCCATAATACTGCTCTTTTTTCTTTTTTCCAAACTTTTGGTGGAGGGAGTTGTTGAATTACATGACAGGCTGAGATTCTTAGGATTCACCTTGCTGTGCAACCTCTGTCCTTCTCTAGTCTTATATATATCTTTATTTTATTTGTTAATTTTTATGTGGTTCCTGGGATCGAACCCAGTGTCTCATGCAAGCTAGGCAAGCACTGAGCCACAACTCCGACGCTCTCTAGTCTTTTTATATGACTGTTTTTACCTATAATGATGCAATAATTATGCTATCAGATATTTAAAAACATAATCATAGATCATGTGAGATGACATACCATATCCATCTAAAAATATTAATGTTCTGTCAGTGTATGAAACAGGTTTGCATGTTAGTCTTATAGAATACTTTTGTTCACTTGAGACACTTTATATTTGATTTGTAAATTCTAGTTAAATCACATTAAAATATCTTCAAATTTTATTTATGGTATTACATTGTTTGAAGGAGAGGAAGATAATACATTGTCTTATACAACCCCTTTTCTCTTTATTTTTCAGATCAATAACTCGATCCTATTACCGCAACTCAGTTGGTGGATTTTTAGTATTTGACATTACTAACCGACGATCTTTTGAACATGTAAAAGATTGGCTAGAAGAAGCAAAAATGCACGTACAGCCATTTCAGATTGTATTTCTACTGGTGGGACATAAGTGTGATTTAGCTTCACAACGTCAAGTGACAAGGGAAGAAGCTGAAAAACTGTCAGCAGACTGTGGAATGAAGTATATAGAAACCTCAGCAAAAGATGCTACAAATGTAGAGGAATCCTTCACAATCTTGACAAGAGACATATATGAACTTATTAAAAAGGGAGAAATTTGTATTCAGGATGGCTGGGAAGGAGTCAAAAGTGGTTTTGTTCCAAATACTGTGCATTCTTCCGAGGAAGCAGTAAAGCCCAGGAAGGAGTGCTTTTGCTGACTTCAAACATGCCAAAGAACAAGAACAGTTTGGGTGTCACTTCAGGATAAATATCAACATTAATGGCAGAAGGATGCAATGATAGCATTTTAAAAAGTTAGGCCTATACTAATACTATTTTGTAAGCTATTTGATTCAGAGCACTATGCTTGTTACACTACAAGATTGGGTATTTTGCTAAATTATCAGGCGAGGCAGACAACTTTTTGAAACTGGAGTATCTACATAATTCCCTCCATTCATACTTCTTACCTTGTTAGCATATAGCTGACCTTAGTGTCCAGATATGTCAGTATTATGCACTTTTCTTGACAGTCCAAAATGGATTTTTTTGTCTAATTGAAGATTTTATTAGGAGTTATATTACCTTGAGTTAATTAATATTGAATATTAAAGTGCATTCAAAAGTATGCTGTTCAATTGCAAAGTAAACAGTCTCAGAAGTATTTTTTAAGAATTTAACTTTTTTTAATTTTTTTTTTTTTTTTTTTTTTTTTTTTTAGTGTGGTGCTGAGGATTGAACCCAGGACCTCACCCAAGGTAGACAAGCACTCTACCACTGAGCTACAACCCAGCCCTCAAAAATATTGACTAGGACAAAAGTAGCTGTTCCTTGTTTAAGATCCCAGATTTTTTACGATTCTCAGAAGTACTTATCCTCCCTTATTTTTGCCTGAAAGTGGGAAAATAAGTTTTATACTCATTTTTTGCTTGATTTATTGCTCTTGAAAATTTTATTTTATAAGATGTATAAGGATTCAGACTATATATATATATATATATATATATATATATATATATATATATATACTTTTTTTTAGAGAGAGAGAGAGAATTTTTTTTAATATTTATTTTTTAGTTTTCGGCAGACACAACGTCTTTGTTTGTATGTGGTGCTGAGGATCAAACCCGGGCCGCACGCATGCCAGGAGAGCGTGCTACCGCTTGAGCCACATCCCCAGCCCTCAGACAAAATATTTTAAGCAAATATTTATAAAAACAAAAATGAAGGACCACTCAATCGCAGATATTTTGATGTTGTAGTATACTGTCTGGATTTAGACAAGAAAATACAAAATTTATTTATATACTGACATTTTCCATGAAAAAAGGAATTAACTTTGAACCACTTTCAAAATTTTCCATATAGACACAAGAATGTTTTTAGTAACAGCATTTTTGTCCAAGTAAATTTCCAAATTTTCCCATTTCAATACAATAGAAGTGTAGAAAAAAGACTTTTCTGGACAAGGAAAATGGGTTAGATGCTTGATAAATTTAGCATTCAAATTGCATTTTACAATCTCCCCAGTACAAGTAAAGATAGACAAAATGGATGAGAATCAGTTAAGAATATAAAATGACTTTCAACTTTTCTAATTTTGAATTTATTGATTAAACTTTCTCTCTTAGGACATTTTGAGCATACTATCAAATATTTTATATGACATACATGTCCATTTTGTTCTGTAAACTGTTCTTATTACAAAGAGTTACCAAATGAAGCTGCCTTTCTAGAAGCATAAAATTTTTACCACTGAACTATAGTTTCTTCATTTGTTTGAAAACCAAAATGGTATAACAGAAAGAATATTTTAGCAAGAAATCGAAAAACTTGGTTCTAAACTTGCCTTTGCTTACCAATATTTGACCATAAGGAAGTCATTTGATCTCTTTAAGCATCATTTTTCTCATTTATAAAACAAGGCTAGTGCTGGGCATGTTGGTACACACTTGTAATCCCAGCAATTTGGGATGCTGAGGCAGGAGGATCACAAGTTCAAACCCAGCCTCAGCAATTTATCAAGGCCATAAGCAATTTAGTGAGACCCTATCCCAAAATAAAAAATGAAAAGGTCTAGGGGTATCTGGGTTTAACCCCCAACACCATAAAAAAAAAAGACTAATAACCTCATTTATTGAGTTTCATGGAATTATTTTAAGAATCAAGTGAATCATGAAAATAAAAAGCTTGTAAATAGAGAAAGCATTCACAAATGTGAGGTTGATATTGACTTCTCATGGGCATACATATTTACAGTGGATGAGAATTTTTTATCTTTCATGTGTGTTCAGAAGGGGCAAAAGAAGGTACATGTTTTCATGGACCTGGGGGATTTCTGGGTTGAAGCTTATCCTCTGCCCTTTTACCCTGAACCACTATTCCTCCAAAGAAGAAATGATAGGGAAGGAAGTCCCCAGAGAATTAATTCAATCAAAAGTCACATTTGAATGTGTTTTTTGTGTATCTTTGAAGTGGATATTTAATTGTATTTTCAAATACTTGTACATTTTCTAGGTTCTTGTAAGTATTTTCAATAGTGTTTATGAATAGAAGAATATAAATTATGTCACTATAAAATTTTGAATATTTACATTGTCAACTTTTTTTATATTATTAAATTAATTTCACATGAGTGAATTCATACCATAATTGACCAGATGAGAAATATTTGTCGCCCAAAATGTGAAGTAGACTATTTTTACTATTACAATTTTAAATCTTAAAAATCATCAGTCCAAAATGGCATAAGCTCAACTACTAGGTATCTAACAGCAATTTAAAGTATAGTCACCTGTGCCTACTTGTAAAGTTAAACAGCTATAATATAAAATGTGACTTAACTTTCAGTGGACACCCTTTATAATATTTATGTTGGATGAGACTAATTATTCAGGCTGAAGGATTTGATGTGTTCCAAGATTTAGAACAGAATTAAGAAACTAGGAGAAACAATTGGGAAAGCAGAACCCCAAAATTTAATACTTGAATAAGTAGAAGCAAGCCTAGCACTCTGGTCTCCTAACATCTTGATTACCATGCTTGGGGGGGGTGAGTTATTGTGTGAGTGTGTGTGTGTGTGTGTTTGTGTGTGTGTGTGTGTGTGTGTACACATGCCTGCATGCATGTACTCACATGAGCATGCATGTGCACATGGCTGGTTGTTGAGGAATGTGAGGAAAGGGGAAGTATAATCAGATGGAATCAACAAAATTCTAAATTTGGGTTAAATCATTTTTATATTTTAGAGAAGCTGTTTGTGATAAAACCATAGTACAGCGAATAATGACTGCAAAGATCTGAGTTCTTAAACAAGATTGCCAAACACCTGTATACCCTTAGCCAGATATCTTTATTCATTTATATATATATATATATATATATATATATATATATATATATATATATATATATATATATATATAATAGCTGACCTATTTTTTATACATTACTGTGGAAAATATGGATAATAATTCCAAAAATAGTAAAAATTTTTGCTCTAGGCAAAACATTTTGACTAAGTTTCTTAGTAATCTTATTCTTGATTTATGTTAAAATTACTTCATTTAAAATTAACTTTTAGCTCATTTAAAATTTAAAGCTAATGATGTAACTAATTACTAAATAGTAATTTTTAAAAAGAAATGAAAAACTATCTAATTGTATAGTAACCTTTTCCATAATAGAAATTACTCATCTTGAGCTGCATTAACACCTTGAGTGCATGTAGTGATGTGATGATTCATTAAATAGTAAGCTTTAAACCAAAATGTTTAAGTAATCAGAATGCTTTTAAATGTGGCCTTTATATGCATAATAGTAGCAAACAAGATTTCTTGAGCCTAGAAGATGGAGTTTAGGATTCTAGAAGTCTGAAGCACTCCATGATTTTTTTTTGTGTGTGGCAACTGAAAAACCATCTTTTATATTATGGTTAAGATAACTTTACTAGAACAAAGTCTTTTTAGCAATCTTTTCATCATTAAAAAATGAATCTATGGATTACTAAAATCATTTTGAGAGTATTTTAATATTTTAATCTGTTTTTATACTGCCCTTTACTCAATTAAGAACAAAACTTCCATTAACTTCAAAGAGTGCACTGAATTTCAGTAATTTAAGTCTGTTACAGTGAGGAGGACTAGGAAGACTAAACAACCATTTTGTAAGCATATTCATTTGTTTACCACTAACTGCCTGGAAAGATTTAGCTTGGAAATGCAAAGGAAATATATAATCTTTAGGGAAAGAAATATAAGACTGTAAAGCCTTTAGAGTTAGATCCTTTGTATTTTAAAATAGTAGAATACATTTCCAATGTTTTCACCAAACTCCTGAACAATTGATCTTCACCTGGTCTTGAAATACCTAGCACTATTTTTCCCGAACCTGAGTGAACTGCTGCATGACCTGTTATTTCTATAAAGTTAATAACTGATGCAAGTAGACACACGAGTGATGAGCTGTGACAATCTATATCAATCATTACACAGTCTAGTTCATTTATTGCACATAACCATGGTAGAAAATTATGAGAAGAAATTTGAAAGATATATTAAAAATAAGTGTACCTTGTTATCTCTCTGGGTAAATTTTTTGTCTTTTTAAAAAGTAGTGCCTAATACATTGTCTTATTATGTAACATTCAGTGATTGCTAATTGATGGTTAATGTGTTGAATTAATCCTATTAAATGTGAGTTCCACATACTTGATTTTAATTTATACATTCCATGGGGGAATAAACATGTTTTGCTATCATCATTTCTTGGCATTTTTTTTTTCAGGATGACAGCCAGGAGAAGTAAGATTTGGCATAAACTTTTGAAGTGTGTTATTAATCTTATTTGACTTTAAATTATGAATAAGAAGAATGAGAGTAAGATTGTTACATTATTCATCCTTAGCAATTCACCTACAATAGTATTTTAAAACAGAAGCAACTACTTTAACTGCAGTTGCACTTGTGTATGTGTGTTCACAAATGAAATACAAATGAGAATCAATTCAAAATTTGCAATTTCATATATATTGCATTATTCAATGGTATGTATGTGGCAGAGCCCCATTATCAAACAATATTTACACAGCAAAATGGCTAGTATTCACACTAGAAGAGATAAGTTTATAAGTAATCTATCATCAGGTCAGGTCAGATTTTTGCTGTCAAATGAGTTACAAAAAAATTAGAGCATTTTGGATTTTGAATTGCAAAAAAGGATGATGGCCTTGAACTAACAGATATTTTTAAATTTGTGATCTCTAGTTGGTTCATCTTTGTTATGCTTCAGCTTTACACATAACAGAAGCTAATTAAATTTTAAATCAAACTGTTAAATCACACAGGAAATGTTCATACTCCTGCACATAAAACTAGTTACACATGTAAATATTTATTTACCATTAGTGCTTGATACATAGTAAGCACTTGATAAATGTCCTCTTATTTTTCTTCTGTTTTTTAATAATAATATAACTATCAAGTTGTCAAGAAGCCAGTTTTCATCTCCATGGTTAGGCAGAATTGTTGGTAATGGCTATCTTGCTAGTTCATTTCAAATGGTCATGACTCTTTGAAACGGTCTAATATTTATCTAATATTTATCACATATCTCTGTGTGCCTTAAAGCACACAGAGAAGATGATACACTTTTAGGGGATTGCTGATGATCAACAACAGCATCTGAGCAATGGGACAGGTGCTAGAATGAATGTGGCATGTCCCAACAGCAGTGCTGTAAATAGTCACCACCAGGAAGAGTGTGCATGAACCTAAGGTAGTGAGGACTGTGGGTCACAGGATGAGACTTTTTAATTTACATAAAATTATTATCAATAGCCTTGTTTTTTAAAAGATTTTTTTGGTAACAGCTTTATTGACATAAGTTACATGTCATAAAATTCAACCATTTAGAATGTACAATTCAATGTTTTTTACTATATTCCGTTATGCAAGCTATCACCACAATTTTAGAACATTATTATTACCTGAAAAAGAAATCTCTGTGCCCTTTAGTTATCATTCAATACCCCTTCCCCAACAACAACTGCGTCCTAATCAACTACTACTATTTTCTGTATTTGCATGTTTGCCTATGTGAACATTCCAGATAAATGGAATCATATAATATGTGGCCTTTTGTGACTAGCTTCTTTTCATTCATATAATGTTTTCAAAGTAGCAGTAGCATTTTAATAAAACTTTTTCCCATTATGAAATAATGTATATTCTAACTTTATGCCATTTCTCTTTCCCCCACAAAATGAATGACCAAGATGTCAAAGAAAAACCAGAGCTGGGCAGTAAACTGGTAAAAACAGATTTTACTCAGGAAATATTGCAATACGAGAATAGAAACCTCCCTGTAGAAGTAGGCTTAATTTCAAATTCTGTAAGAAAAAGTATGAATTTATATCTGAGGATCAGGGGACAGGGTGACAATGAATGGAAAATTACTAACAAAAATACCAGGCATTTGGGAAGATTCTGCTTAAGGCTTGACAGCACCAGGGGGATGATGGAGCATGAGAAGTATGAGAAGATATGGAGAGTGATCAGAAATCAAGGTTGCATTGAGGGATTATGTTCATACTGACTTGGCAGGCTTCTTACTAAAACTGGACTCTAGGATGTGTTCAAGATGGAATCTAGTCTGGCTCAGAGGACTTGGGCAAGGAGAGAAACATTGTCAAACACACCACACAAAGCTCTGTCCATTGGGCAGATCAGATCACTCTTGACCATTGCCTTTCAAGGCTTTG